TCTATCTCGTCCACAAGGTAGCTCCCCTCGTTGTAGCTGCACCGGATGCCAAACCAGGTGCAGTAGTCTGTCCCATCTATCCACTGCGCCAGCGGGCCCCACGGAGTCACGCCATCCTGCGCACATTGCAGTCTGAAACTGGCAAGGATGCTGGTTTGGAATCATTCGGCTGCCTTTGTGTGTGCAACACTGGTTAATGTAGCAGTAAAACCAAGGGCAATAGACACGAATATGGATAACGAACTGGTTACGTAATATTGAAATCCGAAGTTCAGCAGCACGATGTGTTTGCTTTGAATGTAATATCAACACGGGCAAAACCTGTGTGATTTGGGCAACGTCTGTCCAGTGCTAGGCAATTCCGGGGTTTTCCAGCACACTGGGGCGACTGATGCAACAAATCCCTGATGTCTCTGGCGCAATTCTGCTTGCCTTCAGCAGTCACCCCTCAAATCAGTCAGCACGATGTAACTGACGACACCTTCTTCTGGTGTCGGCTTGCGCAGATGGCGCCAAGGACAGCCGCAACTTCACGATGGCCCTTTTTCATTAACTAGGAAGACTGATGTGCCACATATCTAAAAATCTCCAGGAATATGGACAACACCGCGTGGATATTTTGCCGCCGCAGTGCGGAAGCAACATGTACGGGCCCATATTGACAACAAATACCGCAACTGAGGACGCATTGGACACGAAAAGGCACCCTTACAATGCTCATTCATTGTTCAAGCACTCTTTGCATCGTGATTTCTATAGATGCCGTTGCACCCCACCACAGCTCTCCAACATGTGTTGCCCAGTACTGTGGATCTTGTGGCCATGAGCGGTCTATCTCGTGGCCAGTAAGAGCCTCGAATATTCAGTAAACATCTTCAAACGTATTTTGACTGATACAGCGCTGGGAGCTCAATTTTCTACTCGCTTTACCAAATGCTGCTGAACCGTGCCCACCCAATGGACTTTTTTGCACACATTTGGATCAGCATGTCTCCAGTGCCTCGCTTACATCCTTGTTGTACTTACATTAGCCACAAGACAAAGCAGAACCCTGGCACCACACAGGTAATGTCGGCCAATGGTTCCGCGCATATGTTTTTGTTTGAACCCACAGTGTTTGCTCACATACAGGCATCACCTTCAGCGCAATTCCGTTGGATTTCAATGGGTTCCTGTATGGCGGAATCGGCAGGAATCCATATCTCTGGTAGTGCCCACTTGATTTAATTCTTTTGAGAGATGTGTGCTTCCAGGGCTGTTATGCATTGGTCGCCTTTTGTGGCTGATAAAGTGTGGGACAAGCGCTGTTAGACATACCACGGATTTGGCGTGATTTGCAAAGTCGAAAGGGACGCCATTTTTAGTTAATAATTAATGTTCTTGTGAAAAATGGTAGGAAGCACAGTAGTTTACAGTATTTGCTCGCGCCGCTTTTCCTAAAAGGCAGTTCTAAACAAAAGAAATTGAATTCTTTGTTTGATTCTCCGGAAAGTTCTCTCTCCAACCTTCAACGCGAGGAGGGACGGGACCTCGTCTTCCTGCCCATAGGACTGTCCGCTACGAAAGCACAGGGCAACTCCCAGGAGTCCCAGCGCCACGTGCAGCGGCGCCCAGCTGCCGGGGGCCTTCGCCATCGAGGGTCCGATGAGTCATGTCTCCCGCGCGGCCGCCGCCTGGCTCTGCTTCCCGCACTGCAGACCGGCTCGAGGGGCTCGAAGCCGAGGGCCGGTGGGGAGGAGAATTGCCGGAATAAGGTCCCCGGCCCTGGGCCGGCGCCCGGGGGCCAGCATTGAACCACGTGGCAGTGGTTCCACCTCGGGCTCTCTCCTCTCGAGATGGTCAAGGGGGTGGCTGTGGAGACCAAAACAAATGTGGTGCGGCCGTCGTCGATAGGTCTGAGTGGAGCCCGTGGATGGGCTGTCGACGGTCACTGTCCTGAGTTTCAGGCGATTGCTCGTGTTGTTGAGGTATCGGGCAGCATTTGGTAATCATGCGAGCCCACACCATGACGGAGTCACTGCCGATTTTGTGTGTGTTTTTTTTGTTGGACATTAATTTTCCATGATCAAATCAAGAACGCCGTTTTGCTCGGGCAGAACGGGCAGCTGACGACTGCTTCCTTTCCTTGTTGTGTAAATTTCGTGGCGATTGTGATGATGACGGCGCATCTTCGTACCAGATTCACGGGGAGGACACGAGAGTCTCCAGAATGGCGAAATACATGGTCTCCATATTATCGAGATGGTTGCTGTTACTACACCTGAATGAACCCAACACCTCAGAAAATCATTGGAGTACATCGTCAAATGAATAGTTTGCAACATGGACAGAAATCTTCCGAGCCGAAACACTTGATTGATATAACTTCACATACATTGAGTCTCAGAAGACTGAATTCATAAAATAGTGGCAATGCGTTCATTTCTGCCTCGAATGCAAATCTGGACTGAATCCGCGACACATATAACTGATGCGCTCATACCTACACTGGATGCAAAAATTTGATGCTTGTACTACGTTGTATACTGTACCTACAGTGTGTATACATAGGCTACATGAAACTACCCTAGGATAATATAATGTAGCCGATAGATGAGAAGATACACCACGTGGTCCCAGCTTCTCGTCAACTGCCTCCAAAGTTGCTCGATGCTTCACATTGAGACATCTGCAGGATCTTTTGAGACAAACGTATGTGTGTTTACCTTACGTGCCCTGTGGGCCGAGACATGCTGCGACCCGGAGCCTTTGGCTTCTTAGAGCACCACGGACGCAAGTAATGATATAGTGGATGGATGACACGCTTCTGGCATTGTCGACGCCACGGCAAACAATTGGGCGATCGCCCAGTGATATGTATACCATCTGGGCCTGCTCTCCTTTGTCTCTGTGCGTATTTACTGTAGTATGGACCAGAATTCTGTACAATAGGGGAGTTTCTATAATTAAATGTCCGTCAATTGTCATCCGAGATACAACAAAGCATCCAAAACATCAAAATGAGCCAGGACTACCCTAAGCAATGGGTCATTTTAAGCAGGGAATCATCTTAGCACCAAAGGACCTAAATCTTAAGGAATGTCCGAGGCCTTTGAAATGTGTATGAGGCTGCGGCGGCCATCACCAAAATCCATGGATTACATTTGTAACAAAATTACAAAACACATCCCATGCACCTGGTAGGCGATGATGGGCGTCGAAACCAAGCAGATAGTGTGTTCGAATCGATTATTCATGGTCCCATATGGCCACTCTCTATTGTCCCATGAAATGCAGTGAGCTGGCATGAGTAAGAAATCCCCGTGGATTATGTTCAGTGTATGTAGCGAAGAGAAATCAATCCCAACCCTCATGCCCCATGTCCCACGCGAGCCCAAGCACATAGTACAGTGGCGCCCATGCTGTTAACGGAAGAACTAGAGCATCGAAATTTGCTTGGGAGGGCATCCGCCACACAAATTCATGAAACAAAACGTGCTACATGAAAACGTATCATATGAAGATGCACCATATGAAGGGCAATACCGTAATACACATTATGCGCTTCTGCGCAACATCGTATGTCCTGTACTGAATTAGATACATGCTGAATTCTGAGATATGTCATGGCCTTTTGCTCAACTGGCCAATGGTTATATGCACCCTTTGCACGTTCTTCGTGCGTTCCGTTTCGACGCATGCAGCCCACATCTCCCATGGTACAGCTGTATGCATATGCAGCATGAATATATGCGCACGTACGTACAGTGCATGTGGCTGCGCAATCCAAGTAGTCACCAGCATTCAGTGCAACGCAAGTTGGGAAAAACTCATCACATTATCCAATGTGGCAACAGATATGCGCACATCACCGCCTCGCATATAAAAGTGCAATAATCGCCATGGGATGCTATGTGCGTTCGACGAGCCAGTTTTGCAGGTTCCATGGAAACGAACACATTCACATGTGAATGGGGAGCCATGATTTCTTGACACGATGTTGGCTGAGCAGTATCCAGACCACGGTCTTCATCAATCTCAACACGCCTGGCGATGGTACTATGTCGCGAGGTAGCTTCCCCTGCTAACACATGAGCCCCCGTGCTCATGCCATGTACATGATGTGCATCTCAGAGCTTTGCAAGCAGTCACATACAATGGAGGCACAATGCAGCAGCGCATGCCGAACATTGAATACCGAATACCCTATATCTGGTACTGCCGCTGCAGGGTACGATCACGTGGAATGAGTCCATCACTGGATGGCCATACATCCTCAGAGAGACTCCGTTGCCGGAGCTGCATCGTATGGTCTTTCCGGAAACCCAATCACAGTCGCCGATCCACGCATGTTGTTCATTCAATGGCACATCCTTCATGGCAATTGGGGCTGGGTAACGACCCAATGCAAAACCGCACTTCATCCATTCACTTCCGCTATCTCTTTTCACGACGCCTTTGTCGACATCACGCCCTTCGGCCATGACTATGTTCATTATTTGAGTGTCAATCACGTCTATTTGGAGCTGCTGTCACCTACAGGTGTGCGACAGAATCGTATCTCCGCCGCCGCCTTGAACATCCAGTGTGAAACCCGCAGTAGAATGAACTGTCTGTCCTGCGCAATACGGACCCAGTCCGGCACCAACAGAACGAACTTTCTATCTGAGCAATACACACCCAATCTGGCACCAACATAATGCACGGGGTCACGTCAAAGCATCTTCGCAACCTGCCCGTGCGTCAATAGAAATCTGAAGGCCACGTCATTGGCCTGTTGCGCATGAATGTAAGGGGAAGCCGCATTGGTCTAGGCGTCATTGCCACCACGTCACCATCAATGGCGACGCCACCGTGCGAGCTCCTGAGGTCTTCACCTAACCCGTCCCTGTCCCCATCCCGTTCAACCAACAAACAATGGACATACTGCTCTCGTGCGGTTGGGCGGCGACATAGCCCCAGGTGGCTGACGCGCAGTTGATGGAATTTCGCCACAACAGTCATCAACATCATCACCGCCCTCAACCACGGGCGCTCCTCCTCTTACTCGGGGCCTTGGGGGCGTCCTCCTGGCCGGCTTTGATCTTGGGATCGAGGCCCGCCGCGGCGTCCCTCACGTCCGCCTTGGTGCCGCCCTCCCCGAGGAGCAGGCCGGCGTCGGGCAGCAGCACAGCGTCCAGGACGTGCACCACGGAACCGCAGACGACGACGTCCCGCTGCTCGAACTGGGCTCTGCCGGTCTCGCCGACGAGTGTGTAGCCGCCGGGGGCGCTCGGCGACCTCGCCAGGGAGAGGGTGAGCGCCTCATTCTGGAAGACACAACGCGGCCCGTTGGATTGCATTTGAGAAATTGAATGTAATATAGTATATTGCACTATGTATACTTGCAACATGAATGACAATATAGACATAATATATGTGCAATACGGTATATTGGGCAAGCATTGCGGTTGAGCCTGCATATGGCGCAATTTCCACCAGCACGGTTTGTTGAGGGCTGAAAGGCCCAAGAGACTGTTCGGACTCAGAGAGAACTCAGAAGCATCTACGCTTTTGCCAAACTGTAGTTTGGCTTGCGTGACACAATGTCGGCTCGTAGAGACTGCATCTCAGCAGCTTGCCGGCAAAGATGCTGGTGATGCCCGTTCTATCCCGGTAATTATTTTGCGCACTTGAATTATTTAAATTCAATATGATTGGGTATGCACATCAAAGTATCCACCAACTGCGGAATGGGATTTCCATACCAGCTATTACCTTTCTGCTGTCGTTGTGCAGGAGCGTGGGCAGTTCCAGACCGTTCTCAAACAGATTTGAAGTCACGGGCGCACCGACTATGTGGTAGCTCAGCATGACATCCGCCACTCGGACGTTGGGTATCAAGTCAGTGAAGGCCAGCCCCTCGGGGATCAGCGAGTACCATGCATGGTCGGCTGGGGCGAATACCGTGATGCTCAGGCTTGGGTCCTGAAGGGGCGTGACCAGACCGGAGAACGCCAGCATCTGAGAAATGAGCCTCAGGTCCGGGGAGTTGTTGATGAATTGCCACAAGTTCGTGTCGCACGCCCCTCCGTTTGCTGATGCCTGAGGGGTGGGTACTCGATTTCGAGAGCTCGTGGAAGTGATGCCTGTGGAACAAACGGCTGAGGACTCCTTGGATGTTGGTGGTAATTGCCGTGTTGCCAAGAACAATGGCAGTCAACAACTCAAATCACGTCAAACATGTGTGCGGGGCACTGTACTGCAAGGCGCCTAAGCGCGTGGAAGTGTGGGTTTGTTAAGAATGCAGCTGAACTGATTTCCAATCCTTAGAATGTGAACCGCTGCTTCTGGTGGGCATGAATATTTCGCTGTGCTGACATTTGCGCCGACTTCGGATGCTGGATGTTCAATGCGATGTAATTCAACACTGAAATGATGAAAATCAGGACTTTGGTAGGTTACGCATTTAAACAACCATGAATCAACGAAAGAAAAATCTTTTGCATGCTTTTCAGCCCCCGTGCAGCACGTACGTCATGACCTGAAAATGATTCAACGGACGTATGCCTTTCGAATGACATCATTGGCAAACGATTGCGCGTGTGGAATCAAAAGGGCTCGCGAAAGCAGAGCAACATCACCATCAAATTCAAGGATCGCATTTGTCACAAAAGGACAAAATACAGCCCAGAGCGACAGATGCGCGGAGCACCCAACAAAGGGGCAAATCGTAAGCCACAGTAGCTGGTGCTGTTCCACCACGACTCACTTGCATTTGCAGGCCGTTCAAAAGGCAGCAGGATTCCGTCGATCTTGTGAACCGCCGAGGCACATGACTCGTCCATGTCCACTTGGAGAACGATCGCGATGCTCCCGTTCGACGTAAGCTCAATTTCAAGGCCAGAAGCTACAACATTTATATCGTTTCCATTGATTGAGGCAATGCTCGTTTGGTTCCGTAGCTCCGATTCTGTCAGGCCGCCTTCTGCGACGTGGGAGAGGACCAAGTTGAGCAGCGTGTCCCTGAATGGCAACATCGGATTTTCAGCCAGCGGAGCGCGCATTGAAATCTTGTATACAAGAAAACAGGGGAATAAGGTAGGTTTTAAAAAGTTTGGAAATGGTAGAGTTCTAAATTTAGGGTTTAAAATTTAACCCTTCCGCATAGCAAGGGAAGACACTATGTCGATTCTGTTACGCTTAGCGTCAAATTGACGCTTTGGGGGCTTTGGGGGGAGGCAGACTTGTGAGGCTAAGATACTATGTGATTGCAATAAATCGACATAAGGAGGAAAGATACCCAAAGGCGCCGCGAATCAGCTGGAAACAACTCATGACTTGCTTCTAAACGCTTCTAAACCACTTTTCAAGTGTTTGATCTTCAGAAAAGGCTTCGAAATGAATCAATCCACAGAAATTAAGGCTGCCTGCCTCGCCTATAATGCCATTTAGAATCGTATTTTTCAATCCACTGAAATTCGCACAACGTTGGATATTTCTGTCCTCAAAGCAACCTAGAAGTTGCATATCACTGTAGCATAATGCTGCTGAGCCACTCTTGCATCGACATAAGGATTGACGCTAAGAGTAACAAAATCGACATATCGTCTTCCCTAACGTAAGACTTGGCCTGTTTGGGGGAAGAAGGCGATAAAAAAAATAACGCTCATCAATAAAATTTTGTGCAGCACCGTAAAAATAATGACAGTAACGCTCTGAAAAACAACATGCAGAGCAAAAAGCGTAATGGTAAAATTTCCAATGCGGAAAGGTTTGAGAGCCTACAGTACATCACTGGACATCTTCCCTAGCAAGTGGCACCTCTTCCCTAGGATGTGTCCAGCCTGGAATTTGGCGTTTATGCCAGACACATTCGTAGCACTCTGATTGCATCTATACGCCTGAAAAATCGCTGCAGGTGTGACGGCTGTGTTTCATCACTTCCAGCACATACCGGTCAGTGATTGACAAACTGTTCCTGAGTAAACCTGCGGGAAAGCCAGATATTGGAAAACGCCTTGGACCAGCATTCTGACACCATGAGCTGCAATGCAAATCTTCATCGGTGCTAAGATGGTCTTTGCTCTCATGTCATTGTGCATACCAGCATCCCTATCTACTACCCATTTGTTTTCGCGTTACGTTCACACGGGCGGACGCGCTCTTGGGAGCAATGCGTTCGGATCCACCCACATGCATATGTATGATCTACATGCTAAATTTTTGGCCTCCATCATTGGAAACAAATTACACAATCTCGCCCACGCAATAACGACAATTTGCACCATTGCTGCTACAGAACAACACAGCAAGAACACATGCGGGCGCAGCTCCGCACACTGAATTGAGCGAGCCACCCTCAAGCGTCCTGTCTTTCCACGTCCAAGGGCTGGGCTCACCTGTCTTCTGGAAGCTCAGCACCCAGGGCGGCCTCATAAGACCTGATGGCCCTGTTGGTTGGCGCGAAAACAGTATAATTTGCAGTCGTGTTGGCTAACTTGATTGTCCAATCCGCATCCTCCAGTATCCTGCGCGGAAACACCGTGCAACACATCATTCTCAACTCTTGTCTGTTTCTGACCATCAAGCGCAGAGCATGTGAACGTTTTTGGATCTTCCATGATGCCATGCTTGGCAAATGTTCACGCGCCCTGGGCTGCTCGGAGATGCGTCCGCAAAGGATTACCGCACGCGGGCCTCCCTGATGCAAGATATGGGAATGAGTCTGGAGCTGAACTCTGCCTGGAAAGGTGAAATGGCTCAAAGCCCTTCGCCTTTTCCGGCACAGCGCCGCTCCGCAACCTTTCCGTCATCATCGCGCGTCAGCAAGGCAGGCATGAAAAGCTCCTGCGAGAGCCTTCGCTGGGAGCAGCAATTGCTGAGAGCAGTGCCATGGCCGCTCACTCTGAAAACCTCGACAGGTCCCGATCTGCATCTATGGCCGTTTGCGGCGCGGCATCGGGATCGCACGCCGCGTCTGCAGGATCACTCGCTTCCGGGTCCCTTTCGCTTTCCTCCACGATGTCCCCCAAATCTGCGGCGGGGAGCAGCACGCCGTCCACGAGGTACACCATGGAGCCGCAGATGAGAACTGGATCGCCCAGGGTTGTTGCGCTCGAGCCGAATCCGTCGACTTCAATGTTCTGTGCAGCCTGTTCATGGTGTCCAGAACACGGTCAACGGAGACAGGACAAAAATGCATTGGTAATTCCAGGCAATGTATTCAAAGGCTGCAGTTCAAAGCTAATGCAACAAGCAGTGCCAGGCGAGTGCCGTGCATTCACGTTCCTCAAAAAAATCCAACCTTTTTGGAATCAAGTCTTCAATTCTTTGCAGCAGCGCTCAATAACTACGGAGTGCTCCCCGTGCTGGAATGAGAGTTTTGGACGGCGAATATTATTCAGTTTGAATACCCAATCATGAATACCTGGAATTGCACACTTCAATGCCTTGACGATAAATTCAGAGTTTACGACTTCCTCATTGGCTTATTGCTACGATGCGCCAGATATGTTGCACTTTCCTCCGTCATAAATTACTGTCGTGCATGACTTTGGCGCATTATTCCACATCATGATAAATTCAGTTTTCGTGCAAGGTTATGTCTCTGAGTTTTGGGTATAAGATCAAAACTTCCAGTGAATCGTTCAAGCACTGTGGGTTTGCCATCAATTTGTAGCAAGGTGCTCTGCCCAGTAAATCAAGAGCTCTCCGCTCAAAAGAAAGATAATCGGCTTTCTCGTACATCCACCGAAGAAGGCGGAGCTCACTTTCCCTTCTTGAACACTGGTGGCTGGGTTCTTAGAACCCAGTATCTCTGATTCTGGCCTCCTTTCATAATCGGATGCCGTTTTCACAACGAAATTTCCCTTTCAAACAGACAATGCATATGGGACGGAGAATGTATCACACATTCTGCATGTATCAAAGACACTAAGCCCGTCGGCATGCCTGCATTGGCAATATATCGAGCACAGATTTACTACAGTGGAGCCTTTTCTGGGCAATCAAGCAATGCACGACTCCGGCTGTCGAAATTTTGCGGAATGTGTCGCACAATCATCAACTTGCTTGCCTTGCTGCCAATAAACAATGGCACATCCGCCAAGGTGGGCAGCGATTGTTCCTGGGGAAGTTCCTCAATCTGGCTCCTGTTCAGCGACTTCTCCACAATGTGGTAGCGAAGCGCAACCCCCAGCTCTTCTCTGTACGTCTCGAACAGATCTTCCAAGGATAGGTCGAACTCCTCCAGCAATCTTTCGAATGCCTGTGTAGGGGCACACGTCATGAATGCATGAAAAAGAGCCTGTGACTTCTCGCACATCAGTGCAGGAATACGCCACTTCTGTGCGTTTCGATATAAACAGTCTCTCCGCTCATGCGCTCATGCGCTCATGCGCTCATGCGCTCATGCGCTCATGCGCTCATGCGCCCCGGTGCAAAATGGCATCCTTGTGATGCCAAGTGTTACGCCATTTGACGTTAATTGATGCCATCGCAGTCACTGTGATAGCGCCACTTCGTGTCAATATGGTATCGCAATTGGCATCGCAAGAATGCCCTTTGCTTCTGGTGATAGTCCTCTACTAGAAACTGGATCTGGTATTGAGGAGCGCATGCATTCCTCACTACCAGATCCACCTTCTTCCCAGTCTCCCAACTGATTCCGTTGGGGTTGAGGCACATCACAACCAATCAAGCCGGATTTGAACAATAGTTTCAACAACTTTTGAGGCAAGTCGTGGAAACCCCTGGTCCCTTCGTGGGCCGTCCGCACATTGCGCATCCTAAAAGGGGTACATCTCTAGCCGCTTGGAACGCGACCCAACAGAGGCGTTGACAGAACACCCATGCTGCTGCGCAGATCTCCACATTCCAATGAACCGATCAAAGTTTCCAATTCAAAAATTCAAAATTCAAAAACCGTACCCTCAAAACTTGAGGAAAAGATGGCACAAGCACGTATAGCAGCGCAATGAGCCTTGTGTCGCTCTTCTCTAAACGTACTTGCGATTCTTTCTGAGTTAACAAATTCACAGCGGAAGGGCGAGATTTCTACTGCCGGCCGCACCTGGTCAGTGGGAGCAAAAAAAGTGACGTTGAGCGGCTTGTCCTCCAAGTAGGGGCCGACCCCGGCGGCGGCGATTGCCGCAGCCAATGTACTCAAACTTTCCGACGCCTGCACGGCCTTGAGAACGGTCCCGTTGCACTGACCGGGCTTCTCCCCAAACTCGCCAATGGGGACCAGATCCTTTCCAGCGGCGAGCTCATTGATGGAAGTGCCATTGGCAGCATCTCCATTGGCAGCAGTGTCCGTAGCAGCAGCGTTGCTGGCAGCAGCCTTCCTTGGCGCCTTGCTCCTTGGTGCCCCCTTTTCGGACGGGGCGGGTCGGTTGCCAGGAGCTGGGTCTGCCACCACCCCGGGAGCTGCAGGACCAGCGAGGCTCCAATACAGTCAATCGTGACGGTATATATGATCATATACCTCTAAAACTGTGTATATGATATAGCTATATATATTATCAAATATTGCCATCTAGTATAAACTACTGTACATATGATACCATACGTCGTAAACTCGCTGTCATTGCGTTTGTAGAATTTATGTTCCCTGCACTGCACCTGTAGGGTCTGGTACAGCAAAACGCTACCGAGCCGTGTGTCCATTGGTTTACACCAAAGTGCTGGGGAAGCGATGCATCAACATATGGATCGATGTACTTACGTAACTGTCTCTGATAGCTCCAAGCAGCAGGATCCATGCTGTGAAATGTCCCGTTACATAACGGGCATACAGGGCTGTGTATACAGGACCCTTCCTTATGTTATAGCACATTGCATAGTTAAGCAGAAAAGCCGGTAATTAAGCATTAAAGCGCTTTGTCAGAACCTGATGGAAGGCCAGAGGCTTTTGCTGGATGGACATCGCAGCATAGAATATTCAATGTGTTCGCTTTCTATGTCTCCTGTGAGTGAATTGCACGTGCTCCCATACATGTCGCCAACATCCAATTCGGATGCAACAGACGAGTTGGTACCCCCTGAAACGGCCATATGCATCTGCATTCACACATAGGCAGAGGCAACCCCGAGGCATACAGACATTGACACGCGTGTGTAGAGCTACTCCACCACAAGCGAACATCAGTTTGTTTGCAGCGATATTTTTGGGCACTGCGCTGTATACATGTCCGATACGTATCAGATAGGCGGCCACGTTCTTGTGTCGCCCTCAATGCATCAGGAGCAGAAAGCGAAACAACAGCACACCATATGCACCTGCGTGGTAATATGTTGATGCCCACATGTCATGTGATGCTTCAGCGAATGAGTTGCCCATTCCAGAAACAAGACTGCTTCTTTCCTTGACAAGGGCTACATTACTGCCACAAACGACATGGAGGTACTCTCCATAACATATTCGTTCTGGAAGCTCTGCGCGTAAGTCCCGACAATCACATGCCATTATCTTTTCTAATCTTTCCATCTATTCCCACAAACAGCATGTCGTCTACCGAGCCCACTGCTACGTGCACCAAATACCTGCACTACGTAAAATGCGAGAATAGGTAAGATCAGTCAGACTGCCAAGCCGCACCAAGGCAATCCTGATCCAAATGGTCACCACGATCGCGGTCAGCAGCCACACCTGGAATAAGAACAGATTCCTCCCCCTCCCTGCCGCTGCTCACAATGGCACTACCTCCTTTTCCCTCGTCCTTCACCTTCTCCGGGCAGCCACAGCGACCGCAAGAGAACTGGCACAAGCCGCCGTCGATCATCCACTCCGAAGAGCATTTGCCGAAGGCAGCCTGCAGTCGCCACAGGGGGCCATGTCAGTTTGCGTGGCTGTGCCTATTTCCGAACCCTATCAGAAGACATCATGTTTGGAATGCCCACTGCGATGCCATTTGACACAAAATGGAGTCATCACAGTGGTTGCGATGGCATAATAGCGGGTGCGATCGCATCAATTAGTGTCAAATGGCATCGCATATATGTCGTTCTCTGCTGGCGGAATCTGGCCACAGACCATCATGACATGTTACCATCATTCATGACAGTGAATTAGACAACTGACTGTCATGTCACTGGCACGTTTTGGAAATCAGTTGCAATACAACCAATTTTATTTGCCAGCAATGTCATCTCCCACCGGGGGGTCACTGCTGAATTGGTTCCCCAATCAGAATGGTCGCTCAGACCCATGGATCGGGAAACACAAGCCCGTGTACTTTGGTGTGCCCAGTGCCTGAGGTGCATCTTGCTTATATCTGCATTGGGGGGAACGAAATCCTCGACTGCCGCAGAACCATCGACTTGCCTGTATCCCGTGTCAGTGCCAGTGCCTAATCGGAGTTCATATGTACCCTTTCCCCAAACCATTCAGCGTTTCGGCGACATGTCACCCTCCCGGGGGCGGTCAAACTGCATGGAAACAATTTGCATCACTCGCCCGATCACGATTATTATACACAATTCTCCTTCTGCCTTGGAATGCCATCGCTCATTGCTCACCTGCTGCTCGCACGTGAACTCATCGTTGGGCTGCACATCGGTGCACCCCGGACATATCTCCTTCGCCCGCGCGGCGCCTGCGACAGGAGGAGATCACGGCCTTCAGCGCACCTATCCTGATGCCAATCGAAGGGGCCCGCCGGTCGCCAATGCGCAAGATTCAAACAGTCGATTTGGGGTTTTTAAATTGAGAGAACCGAAGCTCGAAACTATGCGCACGGTGCGCCGACGCCTCTCGCGGCGCAAAATTTCCCATCGTTTAAACGATGCGGCCAATAAGGATCCAGGGAAGGCTGTCGAGTCTTGACGTGAGCACCGACAAAATGCGGCGATCCGCGATTGGGGATCCCGAGCCCCTCTGGGGCACATGGGAATATTCCAACTGCGCCATGGTCACGAGGCGGCACCGTCCGACACACGAGAAAGGCCTCCCAATGCTGGACGAACTCCGTTGTCCCCTCCCGACTCCGAGCGGTTCCAGCCCTCTGCGCTGGCGCGCCCTCTGGCGCCCCCATTGCACGCATGCAGAAATTGGCTGGGGGCGCATGACACCCGCAATCAAACATGGCGAGCGCAGGCTACCCCCCATGGCCGCGGGGCCAGGCGCTGTGCTTAAGCACGGGGAATACACGTGGTCGCTTGGGTTCGGCACGGCCAGCAGGCCTAGCAAATCCGTCATGAGCCAGGGTCCTCTGGCAGGTTGAGGTTTCCTCCGTGGCACGGTCATCCCCTTGAGCAACCTTAACAAATTCTCGCTAGAGCGTTTGCGGGGGGAATCCCGAGGCCTCGAAGAATTCGTCGAGGGACGCCATCCGTTGCGCTTCGCCGGCAGGACCTTCCGATAGCCGTGGGCAAGCCCCCGCCTCGAGCGCGACATGGCGACCCCACCCGGCCCCAAAGAGAGACGTGGCGGATCGCAGCTGCCCGGCCTGCGCCCCTCGTTTCTGGTATCATCGGTCGCTTTACAGCCCTGGAACACGCGCCGACCCCGAGGCAACGAGAATTTTGGATCACCTGCGCCGGCGAGGAGCAGAGCCGCGAACACCGCCAGCCCCTCCAGAAACCTCCGCCCTCTCGCCATTGCCGCCCCTTGACCTGCGGCGACCTCCCAGGCCCACGTCCCCAGTCAACAAACCCTGTTTGTGTGCCGCAATGCTGCTGCCCGGCCAAACGCGAGCTCTCGTAGCTAGCCCCAGGCGCTCGGCATGCAATTCGGCGGACCAGCAGCTCGGTGTTTGTCAGCGGAGAGCGAAGTTCCGGAGGAAGGCTTTTTCGTGCTCGGCACGGGCGGGGGCCGTCCGGGCCTGTCAGCGGGCCCGGGGAGTCGCACTGCCGCCCGGTGGCGAAACTGGAATCGTCCTGCACTGTGCAGCTGTCCCATCCGATTGGCGCCATCAGGCTGCATTCAAATGGCGACTCAATCGCTGCCAGTTTCTGGAATAGCAGGTGCATGGGCCATGAGCATGGGGGATGTGGCGGCTCATGGGGAAGAGCGAGGGAATGTGCGCATGGGGGATGTTTTCCGTGCGCCACGTGGAAGGGCCAGAGAAGGGAGGATGCTGGCCTCGCGCATTTGCATGGTATCGGAGGAGTCGTTTTGCTGGACGCAGTACCCGGGTTACATCGAAGGAAGGGGCGTTTCGAGAGTGACGAGCGTCGGTTCCGGGAATTCGAGACGGGAGAAAGCTTGGGCAGTGGGGCGGTGCGTCAGGGCGTCCCGGGAAGTACAATGTCAGCTGGCGGACAGCGTACGGAATGTTGCGAAGGCTGTGCGCTTCCCATAGGGCCCAAGCCACACGCTTTCTTGCGTGCATCAAGCGGATCCCACATTGTGGAAAATGCCACAAGATGGCGGCATGAACCGATGGCACAATAGAATAATTCTATTTGGTATATTCTAAATATCTAGATTTTTGAATAATTCCATTTTTGCAATTCTATTAGAATTGCTGCTATTGCTATCAGCATTATCCTTTTATCATGTCAATGCCATGTCGTTGTTCCCAATATCATTAAACCACCAACAATAAACTGCCAAACCCTTCCATTAAGCAACATGTCTGGCCGGAGGAGCTGCGATAGCAAGCAAGTCGATGGTCTTAAATCGCCTTGGCGCCCAATATAATGGGCATTAATTAATGCCAAAATAGGTAATAAATAACTAGCAACCACATCAATAGCCAAAGGAATAGCAAAATTATTTTAGCTATATAAAGGGGGTGGTTGTGCAGGTTCCCCCATGTGCAAAGGGAGGCGTTTAAGTTGGTATGGTGGATGACGAAATAGCAAATTGTAGCTGAGGCATAGCTTGTTTTGTACTTCAGTACCATTTTAGGGGAATGGGTGGGGATTGGGATGTTTGGGGGGTCACTTAAGGGCAAATATTCTACGGCATTTCAGCAAGACCTATTGAGCGACCTGCCTCGCATTGCAATAGTGCTTCCATGTGTTTTAGTATGGTCCACAATGTGATGCCATGCATATGTTCTTCAATGGCTCGTTGTAGTTGCTTCAAATTTTGGCAGGAAAGGGATATCTCGTATTCTGCCGTTCCTTCCCTTTCCATGGTTGACAATTCGCAACCATCCACATTTGCTAAAACTTCAAAACACACAGTATCTTGTAAACTCACCATGCCTGCCATATCCACCTTATCAAATTCGTTGTTTAGATAGCCCCACAATTGTTGCAACCCCATTGGCAGCTACTAGTTTTCGGAGGCGCTGGGGTTGCCCTGCCCTGCAGCTCGGCTGTTGGAGGTCAGCCGGCCCTCTCCACCTTGGACGGTGAGCGTATCTGGGCAGTCGCTCCTGTTGTCGCGCGTTGGGCCCAACGCTCGACGGGGATCGATCCCCGGCTCCCGCCGCTGGTGAGAGGATGCTATCATACAGCATGCGCGATGCCCGATGGCAGATCCATTGCTGTCACATCAAGACAAGACAACACGAGTGCGCTTCCAGGCAGATTGTCACCATCCACCGTTTACCTATGATCAACCCATTGTCCTCTAATTCCAAGCATCTAACACCCGACCCCTGGCCCTAAGTACT